CCCCCCCCCCCCCCCCCCCCCCCAGAATTTCCAATCCCTTCTGTGGGGGGAGTATGGATATTTTCTGGAACTACACAATGCAATTTCTACCTCAAGTTATAAACAGACTATCCTGTTTCAGTCAGTCTGATAGTCAGGACGTTACAAATCAATATTTTTGATACTCAATTAAAATCGATTATAATTTATCTATTAATATCGAAAACCGATCAGTTGAGTTTTTGTGATTGTCGATTTTATCGATTTCTGTAATTAAACAATCGATTTTATCAATTTTGATCGGAAAATATTGAAAACATAAAAAGCATAACCACTCAATAAGTCAACAGAGGTACCGCTCATTAGTTCAGCTTCAAATGGAAAAAAATGAGTGACTCTAGCCAAATTTGTGATCATCGATTTTTATCGATTACTATAACTATTCAATCTACAAATATCAAGTATTATTGAGTACTATCGATAAATCGATTAAGTTTTCGATGATCGATTTCGATCGATCTGCAACGTCCTGGAAAAGTGGGTAGTGGTGCAAGATAAGAAAAAGCGTGCAAAAGTACAGAGAAGACTGGGGCTGAAGGCCTGGAACAGGCTGCAAACAAACCCAACCCGCGGTTAAGAAATTTATCCTTCGGATTATAGCAAATGTAACTTCAAACGTTAAGCTTATGGGTTTACGATCAAATGCGAAATAAAACAAATTGAAAACAAAACACATTTTCAGATAGGCTTTAAGTGTTTCGCATCCAAATACATCGAGGAAACAACGACGACAACTTAATCAACTTGTGCTTCTACTGCGGCGACCTTTCATTGAGATATTTAAGACTGCACACCCGTTATAAGGGAATTTCAAACGACAAAGGCGAAAGCGCAGATTGTCGCGATAGTTAACACCTTAACATGAGAATTTAAAAAAGAGAAACTTTAAAGTACAAGCTAACTCTTTGCTTACCTGAAACCTGCTCTGAATCGCTCCTTGTGTAGGCTCCGGTAGGTACTTCATATATGGTAAACTAAAAAGCCGCTGTTCGGTAAATGAGCCCGCCCAGCTCCCCCGCTCTTCCGCAGTGTCAGAAACAAGATAAACAGCCAACTAAACAGAGACAATTAGCATCACCTTGGAATGGCCTGTTTACATGGAGGTGGGGAACACCAGAGGAAGGTGAGGTAACCCACTAACATGGGGTAACTCGTATTTCCTTATAACTCTCATTTTAATTTGATCACGTTTACATGATAGGTGGGGTGACCATATGAGAGACTATATGGACAGCATGTACAGAGGGCACGTCTGTTTTACTTTCATCCACGACTTCTTCCTTCCTTCTTTCAGCAGCAGTGAAGTAAAGTGGAGGAGCAGGAGAAGAAGAAGGATGGACGCGATACCCTAGATCACTGTGCAGAGACGTTTCAAGCGCGGTTTCCAGTTTTGCGCAAATAGCAGATGGAGATATCCAATCTGATTGGTTCAAATTGTATCCATTGGAACGGGAACAGTGTCAACAGTAAATAGAATCACCCCTTACGGAAGGCGGAGTTTTTTAGAGATCGATCCTGTACTCAGGTTACATATGTCTAAGGTCACAGAGCTTTTGAGACAGTTTGTCATCTCAAAATCCCTCGTATGGGTTCACTTAGTTAGCACTGTTATTAATAATTGCGGATGTACTTTGAGGAAGACATCTTCTAACCAACTGCACACTTCTTAAATGCGTCACCATGGCAAACAAACTAGAAAACTGTACCTTATGGCCACGCCTGTGGCAAACCTAGGGGCGGTGCCTTGCATGGGACGTTAGTCCCGTTGCACCTACCCCTTTTGGGTTTTTGCTTCTTTTTTTCTTTTTTCTTTTTTTTTTTTTGGTGTGTGTTGCATTATAAATTTATATTGTGTATCACAAGAGCAGCACCCAATAAAGCTGTGGGAAAAAAAGCCTGGAACTTGCATGTTCCAAGCCTTCATATAAACACGCATTATTCTTTCGCTTTTTCTCAGGAGATCGAAGGCTGAGCGCCAAGCGAGCGAGGAGCGCCTTCCGCCCGTAGCACGTGTCTGGCACTCGTCGCTCGCCTGAAAAACGCGAAAATATATAACGCCTGTTAGTAAAAATCAACTACTGGTCTATTATCAATGGTGCGTTCTGATTGGTTGAGCTTCTACTAGGCTAAAAGTTATAGCCCACAAGTAGCGAAAAGCGCAGCTTTGAAAGCGGCTGAATCGCGTTTTGCTAGCTAAAGTTGTTTGTCTCGATATTTTTTACCAACTAGTTCAACCTCGTCCCCAGGGCTTTTCCCTTAAAAAATGGGTGGGGCGGGAAAAGGCCCTGGCATCGGCTGGTCACATGCACAGCCTAAATATTCCTGAGAAGCTAATTTATATGCAACCCGCTGGTTTTTCGCTGACAGAAGTCAAACGGAGCAACAAAGGAAAATAATAATATCGCGAACTGTATGGCAATATTTTCGCGTCTGTTCGATTCAAAAGCTTAAGGTCCATTTAATTGCGTATTATTCAAATGCTACATGTTTGTTTTTTTTACCGGCTCTACGTTGTCACGTTCAAAATATGTCAAATGCTTCAGAGTTGAGACAAGCTGTTATCGAGTAGTACTTCGACTGAAATTCATCGTGACTGTGGAATTACTGTACGATCATCAAGCGGAAAGTGATTTTGTCCAATGTCAAACAAAAATGCGGGCCTTTGCCTCTAGGATCTGCAGTGAATTTAAACAAATTGAACTTAATTGAAATAGAATTGTTCATCAAAATGCTTTATGGAGTCTGGTCTTCTCTTCAGCCCTCCAGCCAGGAACGATGACAGGTCGCCGATCTGAAACATTTTCCCGCCCCACCCATTTTTTAAGGGAAAAGCCCTGGGGACGAGGTTGCAACTAGTTGGATTTTTAAACTGCAAAGGACCGCAAACGATTATGCCGCAAAACGTAGGATCTATAAAAGACTTGACCAGCATAAAATATACACTGATTAGACACACTGAATTCTGGATTTTACTAAAACAATTATTCCTCTCGCCCTCGTGGCCTCTGAGTCAATAGCTCGTTCGGCCTCGAGGAATAATTGTTTTATGCAGGCTATCGTATATCATCCAGTAAAAAGTTGATGCAAAAAAACGCGCGGGGGCTGGGGAGAGAAAGGGGGCTCCTATTTTTGGCTCCTTTTTTTCCCACCACCGCCCCCTTTTCCCAGATTGTGCGCGTCTTATTTTCATTTGGCTGAGAGACTAGCATAGGCTAACCTGGACAACGTTAGAAACGAAAAAATTGATGAGGTTTAATTTTGATTCAGAAGTGTTCCTTCCGCTTAAAAGAAAAAAATCTGGAATAGGTTAGCTGCGACATCAGCTCGTGTATCTTATAATTAAAACTGCTGACAGGTAGTATTAACAAACACCCAAGTAATTAAAACCTGCCAAAAAGCTTTCAAAAAGACAATAAGAAATTGAAGAGGTGAAAAAGTGTGCCTGATTTTTTTTCATCCCTCTACAAATAGAAATTTTCTTTTCTCAAATCTTTGTTAGTTCCTTTGTCCTAATGCCTCAGATATGCTTTATATATGCGTTGAAACAAGAGCTGAAAAAATGAAGTAATTTATCCGCTGACATCCATTTGATAGGAAACTTACCATAAGACGTAAAACATTCGATCTGGGAATTCTTGAACTTCGAGGTTATCAGTTTCAGAATCTTGGCTCACAGCCGCCTGTTACCTTTAATATCACAGTGGACCCTTTGAGCTCACCGATTAGTTTAAAAGCCACATTTAACACTACATTTTCAGTTCTTGTTTTTTCTTTTATTTGAGGCTATTAGGGTTTTTAAAAAGTCTTTAAAGATCAAGTTATCACGTGATCTGTTTCGATCGGTCCAAGACGACATGACCAAGTTTAATCTGAGATAAAATCTTTATAGTTTGATAACGCAAAAAGACACGGGAGATCTGTAGTAATCTCGCCAATGATCATAAAAATAGCTGCAGTACACATGTTTCTGTAAACTGAATGAACTCCGGAAGACATCAAAACATGTCCTTCTGTAGCACTGATTTCTTGCATTCTTTTGGAAAAACCTTTTTGACCACAATCAGCTGCCCAAATGCCGCCCAGCTTTTACCGGCGAAAAAGGTGCTTAATTGTTATAAATTCTGTTTCGTGTATGTTTGTTTTTCTTTCGGCTACAAAATTGAAGGCTGCAATGTAATAAACTGAGCCTAGTTTACAAACAGAGATCTCCAACTGAAAAGCCAGGCTGCCCGTCATCGTTGAGTCAGGTAGTTCGGATGTTTTACGCTGCATCTTCTTAAAGCAAACTGTGTAGTCATGGCGTTTCGTTTCCTTTGACTGAAATTCTCATGGATTTCTGCTATATTTTCATGAGCTTCTTGGAAGCCAGGCTTAGAAGATAATTTACATATTGTCCAAAAAAGGACATAACATTCTTGCTCGAAAGATCATTTGTTTGCTTCTTCAAGCTGAATATTAGAGGTTAGTGACTCAACACTAACATGTTCCAAATCTAACTTGGTTGACAAAACCCCACAGTCACTAGATGACGTTGAGCCAGATGGGCTTGGTGAACACTTGGATGAGTCCTCATTACCCAGAACACCGCAATCAGAGCAAATATCAGGCTCGTTAGAGTCCATTTTTTTAAGTACAGTGCTTAAAAATGTAATGTACTTCATAGAAAGTTTAAGAATGTCGTGTTTTGAGAGTTTTTTGTCCGGTGGGTATGTAGGAAGAAGTTTTCTGAGCTCCCCAAAGGCCATGTTGACATGGTGTTGTCGCCATCGTTCCCGACTGTTTGTAAAATTCCTTCGACTTTGGAACGGATTGTCGAACTCAAAATGGATTGGTCTCCGCCTGATAGCCGTCCCGTAATATCCTACTGGTATGGAAGCACGACTGTGATAATATGGAGAAATATCAGACCGACGAGATCGCGTGTGAGTTACTAAAGACGTACTTACTTTCCAAGACATTTGCATCCGACCGCGAGGGATTCGTAAAGGAAATGAACGATGTCGTATCAATAACTGCTCATCAAAAACTTCAGTTTGCTATATCTTCCCTCCAACGGACGTATCACTCCAGAGATACGTGTAATGAGTAGTTTGGCCTTGAATGAATAGGTTATAAGTATCCTTCCTTGCGTGCGATAAAAACAATGTCACACTGACACGATACACGAGTTTCCCCGGGCTTAGTTTACTGGAAATAGCAAGCCCTTAAGATAAGTTTTTGCTATATGTCAAACAGATATCTTGCCTTGTTTTGATAAATATCGAAATATCGTCATTTTCCGCCAATCCCATGTCAAGAAACAACCGTCATTATCAGCTAGATCTAAAACCTTTGAGATTGGAATTAATTACACACCCCCTCGCATGCGGTATTCGGAAACGTTTTTTTTTTCTTCTTCTTGCTCCAACGTGACACATACATCATACAGCTGTAAGAAGGTAACACGAGCAGTTGTTATAAGGCAGTGCTTTGCATTCCCGGTTTGAGTCTAAAAAAGCAAAAAAGGTACAGTTGTGGACGCGAAAGTTTCAAGTCAGTTTTAAGGCGGATCGCGTTAGGCATGACGAAAATGTACAGATTGCGGCCATGTAGATGAAAGGTCTTACTATAAATTTACAAGTTACTTCATTTGTTTATTTACTTAACAAGCCAATAGGAATAATAAAGTCTATTTGAGGAAACCGCTTGACCGAGGCCTCTCTCCAAACAAACTACTTTACATATTTCGAGTGTAAAAGTAGACTAGCTTACTTGAACCCAGGTCATACAAACAATCGTAAGTCAGCCACAATGATGTTCTGCACTTCCCAGCTTTGAAATACCATCAGATAAAATGTTCCAATTAGCTTACTGTCTTTTATAATCCGGGCTAATTACAGTTAAGTTAGTTATTTGCTTATGAAAACTATTTAGAAAAGTTAAGACCTCCAGCCCCGTTAAGTTAAGCCCCAAGGTGAAGACACATTTATACACGTACGATTTTCCTTGTCGTATTCCGGTTTTGTTTTTCAGTAAAGAGGAAGATCTCGTGAGCAGACATCATCTATCCAGCTTCATTTTTAACGGAGCAGTTCTCTGGGACAGCCTGATATGAGAGTCAATTGAAACGATTGGCACATCTGAATTTCTGATTTTTTTAAAAGTATTGTGTACGTGGCATTCATGAAAAACAGGTCTTAGTAAGGTTAGTTGTATATTGTTAAGGGTAAAGAATTATTCTATTCTATTCTAACTTTTTAGCTTAGATGCGTTGACGAAATCTCAAAGCGAGACCGAGCGTTATTGAGCCAGATCAGGAGCATCTTCTTGTGATACAGTCCTGTGCATAGGCAAGGCCAGGGGTACTCATATATTCGGGTGTTTTTGGCTCTTTTTCCTGTAGGCGAAATCAGTGTAGGAGTAACCATTCGAATGAATTGAATGAGTACTAACTGAGCAGCGACTTCCGTATCAAGATGGCTCTGTATAACTTTATCGGTTTGTTTGTCGGGATAAAATTCTAGAAAGTGACCATGAAATGAAAACTAATGACCAGTTTTTCCTGTTGAACACTTCCCTCTTATGTAACAGGGACTTCCACCTTTTGAGTCTGTGGATGAAATCCTATTACTGTGTGTGACTATTCAATAAAAGTTACTGAGCATTTCTATCCTGTGATCGTTGATATTGTTTATTATCCTGCACAAGATCACGGGTAAACTTGCGACTCTGTAGATAATATCACGTGACTGTTACACTACTTTAATTTACCAATTCTGCACGTAGCAGCAGCCGGTGGTGGTAGGGGACCTCAATCTGCACCCCACCCAACCACCCACCCAACCACCCCACCCTCCCTCCAACCCCTATTCATATTTCAGAGAAAGAGTTAAAAGGGTCTCTTCAGCTTCACAACTGGCCGTTTTCGAATTTTTAAAATTTATACTTGGCGTCGAGGCTGAGGGGAATGAAACAAATGAAAACTCATTGCGATTCGGCCATGAATAGTTCATATCTTTTGTTTTAATCCCCTCAGCCTCAAGCCCAGTATGAATAGGTTATTTCCGAGTTCCAAAATCTTTCACATTCTAAACGAGTCTAAGAGTTAAACGCTTCTTGAGAAAATGAGTTCATTTGCACCAGAATAGAAAATCGTTTTCATGTCCAAAGTCTCGCTCTTAGACTCGCCTTTAAACATAGGCGCGGTGTGGAGCAACTCGTGTTACCCACCCAATAAATTGGGAAAAAGTTGGCTAATGTTCTGTCGTCGCTGAAACGTTTGATCCTAAGCTTGCTGAAATCCACAATAGCGTGTCCATTCACGTAAAAGCACTGATCAGAAGTAATTTCATGTGGTATAATTTGTTCTGCTGTTAAGGACGGAAGTAGTTGAAATTCAAATGCGATTTTTCTTAAAAAAAACATAATCTACTGAGTACTTCCTTCTTAATTTCTGTGAGTTCCAACCAATGGCCAAAAGGGATAAAGAAAAGCTATAGGAATTGGTTCCGCGTCGCTCACGTCAATTCTCGAGGACGCGCTGTTCCAAGCTAAGCGTCCCTAACCTGCGCCCGGGCCGCGGTTTTAATATCCGGTTCATAAGTTCGAAGTATATAGTGTTTATAGTCTCTAACTAAACTAAAGAACAGGCACTCCTAAAGTTAAGCCACAAAAATTTCCAATACCGGTTTTTAAAAACAATAACCGGTATGTTCGTTAACTATGGCTTCAGATGTAAAAATAAAAAAACTCGGCATTTGTGGCCCGTTCGTTCATGCGCGTCCATACTCATATGGGGAGTTTTCCACAGCTGACAAATGCTATATTTTGTTACTAATTAGTGATAACCTTTTAAAACAAGCTCATTAGATTCTTGAACCCCTAATTCCACTGCATCATTTTACAGGTCGTTTTAGCTTATGTTTACCTCATACCGTATTGAGGTATTACTACTTATCTCCGTCGCATCTCTGTGAAGTTGCGGTATTTCCTTCGATATGTCGCCTACTAGTCCGCGCGTTCCGATCCGCATCGCGCAGCACCAAACTCAACGCTTAAGTCTTCAAAAACAGCCGTATTTTATTTCTTGCGAGGGTTAATCCATTCAAAAAGATAAAAACCCGTCACGATATGTTTTGCGAACAAATTATAAAAAAAGTCTCTAATGCAATGCACTGTGCTGTCCTATACTTTGTATATGAATAGACCTTGTCTGCCAAAAGCTGCGGTAGAACTGCTCATCCGTTTGCGCACTCTTTAATGTCACAAACATACTCTTAGATTACAGCTTATTAAAGGCATTTTGCCGACAAGACTTTTTTTTATAGTTATGTAAACTAAAGCTGCAAAGGAAAGGATTGTCCTAAAAAATTTTGGGGTGTACCTGTGCTTAAATTTCTCCAGAGGCTTGCTTTAGATTTTCCATATATTTGTCTGTAATTTTCCCGGGACTTTCTTACAGACAAATGTATAGAAAATTTAAAAAGTGGCTCTAGGTCTTCTAGAGCATGTAACGCCTCTAATTTTTTCAGGAGAATCCTCTGGAGTGAAGCTTTAGTTTACAAATCATATTTTTTTTCAGAACAGCCGTTCTACTGAAATTATGCGACATTAGATTCTCATAAAAACGCTGTAATTTCTCACACGTTTGCCTACTCGTCAAGATGGCGTCGAAAACCGTGACAAGGTCTATACTGACAATTGGATTTCGTTTAAAAATGCAAATGTATGGATTCCAGAAATTCTGCATAGTGAAGACAACAGTTCCCACTTTGGGATATCCGCATCAACATCAGCACTCTGAGTGTCCTGAGAATGTCTGAGTGACAGCAGAAAAGGGAGCTTCCTTGTAGCTTTCATTTGAATGGTCACACTTTAGGATGCATCCACAGGCTCTAGAATGCTAGAACTACCGTGTGCAGTATAATAGACAGTACGACAGGAAAATACCGCTCAATAGCTTTCATCTAGATGGCCACACTTAAGGATTTCATCTACAGACCTAAAAGTAAGAACCACCTTATACAACATAATGAACAGTACCACAGGGGAGTACTGCTCAGTAGCTTTAATTTTAATGGTCACACTTAAGAACTTCGACAAACTCAAAGGTAAGAACACTTTGCATAACAAAGTAAACAGCACCACAGCAAAGTACTGCTTAGAAGCTTTAATTTTAAGATTCATTCACAGATTCAAATGTGGAAAAAGCATCTTCCGCAATAAAGGACCGGAGGAATGTATCGAACTGTAACAGTTTCTTGAACTGTCCGATTCCTCATACATGATCTGGGTTCGAATGCTTACATAGGGGCAACTGCATTCTCCGAGTGTCCCTTACTATTTCTCAGACTAAAGAGCTCAAACTGAACCACAAGTTTTACCGGCACATAGTATTTAAAAAAGTGGTCCCCGCGGTAAAGAATTAATACCTGCTTCGCGATAAAGGCGCGGGAGGGGTGGGTAGGGAATGAGGTGTTTTTGACCCTCCTACAAAATGTCAGTTTGCATTTCCTGTTTGGTTACCTTAACTTTTCATCTAATAGTATTAATCTGAAAATCTGAGGGTGGGATAACCGTTTTGAGCAGATATTAGGTTTTCATCCCCTGCAGACACGAATCAAAGGTGAACACAAAATTAAATGAAGGAGAAGCTATTTCATGTCTGGCTCTCCTTTTCATGTTCTTTGGTTATTCAGTCTCGCCAAAAGAGGAGAAAACTGAAAAAGCCAAAACAACACTTATTCTTGTAGGTCTTGTAGTAAGCCATCAAAAATAATCAGTGACATGGGCTTTTTACATCCGAAGAATTTATCTGATGTGTGTATATACATAAGCTTCATAATTCGAAGGATAGATTTGATTAAGAGGTCATGGTTCTAAAAAAAGAATACCGAACTCGTGAAAACTGGTGTTGATCTGCTATGCACACAATAGAATGGAAATACTCCGGATTGCAAATCCGGATTTTGAGATCATCTTTGAGCTGACTATACTATGTTGGCAGTTCCACGCGAAGACTTGAAAAAAGAGAGGCAACTTAACTATTTGGAACATAACGCTTTTCTGGTTTACTAAACAAAACTGCAATGTGGCTTAACCTTTGATTTTATGGATAAATTAAGCTTCATAAAAGAGAGGTCGACCATTGAAGCAAATCAATGTAAACTCTGCAGATTAATTCCTGTGAATGCCGCTAGTGTAGTAAAGCGGCACGTTTGTATATATTTCAGATCTAAAATAGCTGGACACACTGTCAGGCCGTGTTAAACTAAATCAGTAACTGAACGTCTTTGAACTAAACAACAGATATAAAAGTAGGTTGTTGGCATGCTTTTCCCAAACCTTCTGGGTTCAAAGAACGCGCAAAAAAAATTGTCGATCAAACGTTTCGCTCGTGTTCTTAATCGAAAAACTTCTTTACCGCGCCATGCTTTCGGTTGCAAGCGTTTTTTGATCGAGCGCAAAGCTGTAGAGAAAGCTGGCAGGAGCGAAGCACCGACACGCGTCGATGGAAAGAAGAAAGAATACACTGCCCTGCCCTTAAATTCGTGCGCAACTCGCTTAAGTTATACAGACCATAATGTAGATCACGTAGATTCATCCGCAGCGCATGCGTATTAAAGGATACTTTGCCAGACAAAAATATGTTGCTACAAGTCTCTGCACGGCATGAGAAGTTAATAAGCACTTGACATGGCCTTATATTTCCGACTGTTTAGGTGATCAGGTCCGTAATATCAGCTTTTGGAGAATTAATCAATTAATTGATCAATTAATTGAGTAAAATTTAACTGTGAGATGGGCGGGTACCACTTTAGGTCAGTTGTTCACACAGTGCGCGCGCAGACTTGTTGAACCGGCGCCACAACCTCTACGAACCACGTTTTGTCAACCAGGGCACAAACATGAGACAGGGGTGAGAGAGGATTGGGGAGAGCGAGGAACCTACCTTAACTTCCCTCTTCTCCAGTTCCTTCCCAACCAATTTCGTTCCCAGGGCATTTTCCCGGCCCTACCATTTCTTAAGGGAAAAAGCCCTGGGAACGAAGTTGCGTCGCAACCCCTCTGCTTGTCTCCACAAGATTGTTTCTCAAGGATAGCTGTACCACAGTGGTGATTTGATAGCGCGCATAATCACAGCGTATTATCGCACAATAAGCGGATTTAATTTTTCTGAACCAATCAACGGAAGAGGAGAAGCGTTGTACGGTTTCATTTACGCTGACACAAGGTCTGACACAATTTTTAGCTTTAAAAAAAGCTTGTCAACGAGATCAATAGTCTAGGCGGTACAATCTTGTTTGCTTGATTACACATACAGTAGCTGCTAAACAAAACTTTCTCGACTTTTCTTAGATAAACTCCACCGCAGAACATAACAAAATTCAGTACACCGTAATCTTGATCTTTCGAAAACAAAATGTTTATGGTAAAATATTGTTTTAGAAAATCCTCGAAAAAAAAAGTTGTAAAATAAACCGAAAATGAAAAAGTTGTAAAATGAATTAAAAATGAAATCTCTGCTTTAGAAACAGAAGAGAAAGATGTCAAGAACAGACCAGCCTGAAGAGTTATCACTCAATAAGGAATCATTCAATAAGGAGCGAAACTGTAGCTTTAAATATCGGTCTTTTTGAAGCAGCATGGAAATGTAATTAGTTTCAAGGTCATAAATAACTTATAGGTCAGGAAACCTCTTTTGGTATCATCGAAGCTGTCGAAAAGTTGCGAAGATAAATCCATAACTGCTAAACAAGAAATGAGAAATAAATTTCATCCAACAGGCTAGAACAGTAACTGAAGTTTCGGTGGCGTGCGTCGCTCAGTAAAATGCCTGATATCATTATTTAATACTTAACGGTTACAATATCGAAAACATCAACCTCTTTGTCGCCGATTGGGTTGAAATTACAGACAAAAGTAAACACGGGAAGGGAAAATCCTTTAACAACCAAATAATAATGTCAAAATGTTAAGAAGCTTAAAATTTATGGCCACGTATTAAAGAATAAGGTGGTATTTAAGATCTAAGTAAGGCTTCTTTTCCACGACTTATGACACGTTATGGGTACGTAAGACAATTGCATCTTGATTTGTAAGCAGTTTATGTTGGAAATCTACGGGGGATAAATAAAAGTTAAAATCCCTGAAATATTTCACTTCTATGTAAGCACATTCGCGGCAGATTTTTATCGCAAACAAACTGAGCTTTCGTCTTCCTTTTTCAAAAATAGTAAAAACAGACGGTCTAAGCTATGTTTGCGTATTGTTTCATGCCTTCATTAACAGCACCTAGAGTACATTTTGTATAATTAAGCAGCACAGAATCAGCGAGGTTTAGTCTTTAGTTTGCTGTTGAAGTTCAAATTGCTCTACTGTTAAAGTTGGACCGCACGCGTGGGCATCAATTATCTGGTATTAATTGCTATTATTATAATACCTTAAAAACTTTAATTGGATTAAAAGAATGAGATGGTATGGCTGATAAGGGATGTAAAAGGAAAAGTTTCGGACAAATTAGTATTGAAAGTTCAAGGGCGATGGACAAAACTGGCAAGAAGGAACTATCAAAGGCCATAACACTCAATCCTCACCAGTTACACAATTTGATCATTGAGCGCTCAACTCCATTTGCTATTGCTTTTTTTTCGAGAACAGAATTCTCGACCTCCGACATTGAAAACCGCGTTCTCGCGGTAAAAACGTTGGGTGTTGAAAGAAGCATGTTTGCTACGAGTAAACGCGAGCGATGGCGACAACAAAACGTGAACATGGCATTCTTAGAATTGAGGAAAATCCTTCCCACGTATCCGCCAGACAAAAAGCTCTCTAAGGTCGATATTTTGCGACGTAGCATCAAGTACATACGGTTTCTGGACAGCGTTTTAAAAGAGATGGACAAATTAGAGAAAAATGAGGAAGACAGGTTTACCGGTGAAGTTATGAATTTAACGGCATCTAGTGGAAACGAGGCGTCGTTCTCAACAAGTTTTTCTTGTTGTCATTTCAAGGAATAAATCGGATGGAAAATAGTGGGTGACTCTTTATTCCCTGTAATGTTTCAACGACTCAAAGGAACAGTGCAATGTAAAAGAAGCGATATACAAGGTTCAGAAGCTAGAACCCTACAAAGCTTAGTGATTTACTGCCTCAGCAATAACTTCGTCCACAAACTGGTGTGAGACATGTTTACTATTAGCGTTTACACTGACATTACGAAGCAAGGATGGACGTACGGAAGAACCTCGATATAAAAAACGTTTTAGGTACACAACGAACGGTATTTTTCACCCTAGTAATAGCGAAATGTATGAAAAAGAACTTCGATATAACGACAACTCGCTACAGCGTACATATTTTGCCAGTTACTTGGCCCTTCATTATATCTGTTATATGGAGGTTCCTCTCTTATCATTCAGTGAGCATTTAGGTATTTAGAAATCAGTTAGGTCTGCGTTTCAGCAAAATGTTTGAATTTTTGTCCAAACTTTGTTAGAAATTAAGTGAGAAAAGAAGACAACGAAAATTAAACGTACGAGATTTCCTGAGTTATGTATGACGTATTCACCGCCTAAGTAACCCTTAGCAGGTTTTCCAACTAGAGCAGTTCACTCACTAAATAATTGCCATCATTAATATTATAACTAAAAAGCCTAAGAATCTCTTGGTTCCATATCCGGACGCACTGGAACTGCACTGAGCAACACGTGTCTGACTTTGGGTACTTCCTTGTCTGTTAAAATCTAAGATTGAGAGAAATTGTAAAGTTACCTTGCGCAAGAAGACTTTACAAAGGTGATGCTCTCGATTTTCTTTGCCATGAGACTAACCAGCTTAACAAAGAAATTGCTTATCCAAATAGAATCCAATCGGAAACAGCGATGGAAAACATCTTAATGAAATCTTTTGTCATATTATCATAGGGATTGTTTCCGCAACAGCGCGCTCTCTCATTGGTTAATTCACAGTCACGTGAAAAACGATGTTTCCCGCAAAAGTCTCTAAGCGCGCAAGATTGCAGAATCTATGACGTCAGAGGGAGTGCTAATGTTACCGCGAATGCTGACCGCTCGCTGAAATTTCTTTGTGGTTTTTGGGCAAGTTAACAAATCACTTAATAGACCTTTTTACCGATACGGCAGCCATATTGAATTAATTCGATTTAAGGCGTATTATAGGATGCCTAGGGGGCATGAGCACATTTTGTTTGTATTTTCGAGCGCTTTTCGGGACATTTTTTGTTAAAGTTTTCTTAGAATAAGATTGTAATGGGAAAAAAGATCCTTGTGCCGTGTTTGGATGTAATAATGATCGCCTTTTTCTAGTTTAGTATTAGAAATATGGTCTTTCACTGTATATTTCTCGGCAAAAAGGCGATCATTATTACATCCAAACACGGCACAAGGATCTTTTTTCCCATTAGAATCTTATTCTAAGAAAACTTTAAGAAAAAATGTTCCGAAAAGCGCTCGAAAATACGAACGAAATGTGCTCATGCCCCCTGGGCATCCTATAACACTCCTTAAATCGAACTAATTCAATATGGCCGCAGTATCGGTAAAAAGGTCTATTACTGGAAATTACATGTAGTTAATTTTGTTTCAATTCCCTAGAGACCAGTCCTTAAATGTTTAACATCGGTTAAGACTGAAGAAAGTAAAACGTTACTTAGGTATACGTACCGTTTGAGGAGCCTACCACCAGTAACCATTCATCCGCTCTGTGAGTGCCGGTAAATGACGTCACCACACCGTACTCATTGCACGTTAGTTCTCTACAAAAAGTGGAAAATGTAGGTTGGTATCTAAAATGGTCAATACAAAACTATCTTTTGTCAAAATTGTAGAGACCTGTGCATATTTCAGATTGTATGTCTCTCTCTAGGAAATATGGAATAAACTCAAATAGCTTGGTTGTTCAGTAAAGAAATATCAAAAAGTGTCAGATGTTTTCAAAAAAACACAAACGTTTCGGGTCAGCACCGTTCAGGACTGAATATCAAGTTCACTTTCATTAGAACTGGGACATTACATACATCTTGCGCGCGCCATTACACGCGCGCGTGCTTCGATCATTTTATGTCTATGATATTGAGTAGCACTGTACAACGGTGTTTTTTTTTCACACTGAAAAAGGGTCATATACCCGAAACGTTCGCGTTCTTTTTAACATTTGAAACTTTATATGCATTTATATTTCTTTACCGAGTATCTCCTTATCATCTGTTCTTTCTGTTTAGCATTCATTTATTGGCTGCTATTAGTTGCTGACTTACTTTAGAAGCCCCACTGTATCTCCTCCTAGTGAATCATTTCCATATCCTCCTTTCCAGTCTAGATAGGAATGGGTACTTTTTCGTTCAATTGCTTTCACTTGGTTCACGTCCCCTCTAACGGAACTTTCATTCAAATAAGAACCAACCTACAAGTAAAATCCAACTCTTCGTCACCAACATTTCGGTTCGGGTTTTAAAGACAAGAAATTTCTTTCTTGGTTTTAAAGAGGAAAAGTTTTGTCGAAAAGTTTTCTTAAAACTGACGCGCTACTGGTAGACAAAGTGCCTTGAATGGCTACCAGATAATATAACTTTCTCTCTAAACATTTCCAGGTATTCCATGAAAAGCCACCAAAAGATCAATCAGTACTTCGTGTCATTTCGCCTAAACCCATTTAAATTGTTCTTAAGAGAGATATAATCATCCCTCTACACTTTCTTAACAACACAGATAGGTTAAGCTAAAATTATCCTTTATTTTAGATGTCTGTCAAAAACAAAACACTGAAAGACGTTGTTTTGTGTGCTGAGCTAAAAAATAAAAAGTTTACGATGCGACTGAGATAAACGAGGAACGAAAAGTGAGAAGGAGAAAGTTCTCCTAAGAAAAGTGGAATACATGTTATAACGGGTACCAAGACTTAAAAAGAAATATATTAACTGATAAAAAATCAGGGTTCAGCTCCTCAGCCTCATTAATTGCAGCGCGAATAGCTACTGCCAGTTGGTGTATCGACTTTTAAGAAACACTTTCTTACTTAACTTGTTCCTTCCCCTCCATCCTTCCCCTTTTTTCCATTTCTCAGGCAGCTTTGTCTTTTGTCTTTATCAGTTTTTTTCTTTACCTTTTTTTAATACCTTATTACTACGCATTATTGTTACTCTGCCTTCGCCGTTCAATTGAAATGAATATTAAGTGTATTAAGTTTAGTAGAGAAAGCCCACGTTGTTTAAGCCTCGTGGTTTCTTTGGGCTTTCTTGCCATTTCTTACGAATCATTGTAATTTTTACTGCATAATTATAAGGTGGGGAAATAAAAAATATTTTTTAAAAAAGAAAAAACCGGAATTTTGCTAGAGTACTTACCAATATTAGTTTAGTGATGAAAATATCAGGGGGTATATTAAGAAACCAGTTGACTGGTACGTAAGTTCCAAGTACGAGAACAACTGGTCTGTTTGACTGTCTGCGGCTGACGATATTCACCATGGCGTAACTGATTCTTGGCGCAGTATTGTTAAACCCGCCCAAGCCCATAGCCAATACGTGGACCTCGTACTGAGTGGAACTGTGAGCTGGTGTGCAACTGTAGACTGCCTGGCGCTCTCGTTTGTTATACCGTGGTTTAGCAAGGGCTGTAGCAGAATTCACCTCGATTTTACATCCATATGCATCAGCTAAAGAAATAAAAAAGTTACATTTTTCCTGACGAGAAGCATATATAATTTTTCTAAATTAACTCCTTCTCTTTCTTTCTAACCTGAGATCAGGCCCAATTTGAGCGGTTCTCATACATTCTCTCTAACGGCCACCGCTGAAATTGGGGCTCTCTTTTCGTTTCGCCTTGCCCGCCGGAATGTAATTTTCAAAGCGAAACGAAAATAGAGCCTGATCTCAGGTTACTTTCTTTCAGAAGACCGCGTGTTTTATACAGGCAGTTGTATTTTGCATTTGAGTCCGTGTTTTTTTCTTTTGTTTTAACGAATTTCGGTTTCAAGGGTACATACCCTTAGAATACATCAGGCAAAAGCAAGTCAAGCAAAACACTTGAGAACCCCGCTTCGTTGGTTTTAAGTTGTCATAATGAAATGCTAAGTCTGTCTAAATAAAGCTAAAAAGCGTCTCTACTCAAATAATTGTATAGCAGTGCAGTTTTCATTGACACCTCTTTCCTACTGTAAAACGTGATTACATCAGTTCTATGACCGATCAATTCTGTAAGTCTTCCGTCGATGTCTGTCCTACAATCAGTGACAAAAGTAGTTAACACACATTTCTAAAACAAGCGCTTTTATCAAAAATTTCATTTATTTAACATATAATTTTTTTTATCGCCGTAAATCCCCCCACTCCTGAATCAATGTTGTTTGTAGTTGAAGAAAGACTTGAGGGTTTAAATTACAATATTGATTTAGGGAAGAAGGAGAATTCAAACACCTGAAAGCTCGGAAACGACCCTCCGAGTTCTAGTTCAGACGCTCTAACCACTGAGCTACTGGAACTCTAATGGCGAGCAGGGTCGGAATTTCAATACAAGTACACCAGACATTAAGGATTGGATCGGAGACTTGCTCGAAATTCAGCCGTCCACCAGCGTACAAATCCAAGACTGTATATTTATATAAAAGAAAAAGGAGAATGTTCAAACACAAGAAAGCTCAGAAAAATTTTCCATTTTATGTTTGATTTAAATTATTTGTTTCAGACATTTGATCGGGCCCACTAGTATTAGTGCTATTTATGCTGCCGAGGGTATAAATCACGGAAATTTATTTATTTATTTTTGTTTCTGTAATCATCAGGAAAAACTTACGCAAGCAAGTTTCATAGACGTAGCCTCGACCAGTGCAGACGCAATATCCGTCAATACAATCGGCCTTTACGTTTGTGTTTTGGCCAGGGCAATAGTATGGTCGATAATGCGATTCGAAACACTTCTGCCTCGGAAGTAGTGCAGCTGTTGCGGCAGTTAGTGGGATGCTGAGATTTCCATTCCCCGAACCTGCTCAAGAGAAATGCCAT